CAATAGCAGCATAGGGACCAGCAAGGAGAGAAGTAAGAATGGTAGGACTAGTCCAGGTACCACGGAGGATGATGATCATGCCGTGGATGAGGTCTGTCTTAAGACATATGTGCACTAGCAGGAAAGGAGTGCTGGGAAGAAAACACACTTCTCTGATCGTCCTCGCAGCAGCTATAATGGGATAGCACTGGTGATCGAGGCAGAGAATGCCTTATTGACAGTGGAGAGTAAGAGTGATCCTCAGAGGAGACGAATGTGGACTTCTCAGCTGCGGTGCTGTACTCAGCGGCAAGTCATGGTAATCACAAAAGCACACAGCACAATGGTGGTGGCCAGAAGCAACTCCATGTGACACTATGGAGCTCGGTGCAGAGGAGTTGGCATCAGTGCTGGAGGAGAGGGATGCAGTTCCAGGTTTGGTGAGCAAGGCAATGGCTTAACAGATTTTGATTTAGCTTTTGCTGTTGAAAAGGTCTTATCTGGCACCGCTGATGACACCAGTGGCACCAGAGATACCAATGGCAAGGACCTATCCAGCTCTGTGGCACCTGTCTTTTTTGGTGCCAAAGGCAGCGGTACCGTCTTCTGGATGGTGTGCGACTTTGGGTCTGCTACTGAGGGCGTCCGGTGCCGGAGGTGCCTGGCTTGTCTCCTGTACTCACTGTCTGAGGCAGGGAGTAAGCTGGGGAAAATTCTCTTATTTGCGGACTTGGACGGCAAGAAGCCCGAGTCTTTAATCTGCCTGCTAGCCTTAGACTGGCTGCGTTTATCCCCACTGATTTGAGTCTCTAGAGCCTTGTCGAACAGCAACATAAGCAGCCTCAACTCCCTGTCTTTACAAGCTCTGGTGGTGATGCTGCAGCAGTGCATAGATTTCTGAGGCATATGGGCTTCATCTAGCAATATATGCAAAACCCATGGTCATCTGAGGCAGGCATTGGATTGCAGCATTTTCACATTTCTTGAAGCGCAGGGACCCAAGTATGTTGTCTGTAAGCCTTTGTCTTCTGCCTTTTTTTTTTTTTTAAGGGATGAATCAAAATCAGTTGAGAAGGTGGTTTTGGTCTTGACTTCCTATGTACTATTCTCTATTTATCCTTGTATTCTATTTCATTTGTTTTTTAACGAAGGCCTGAGGGGCCGCCAGTTGAAGGCTAATGGGCAGCTACCTCAGAAACTTTGAGGAAACTATTTATAAGAAAAACTTCACTGGAAGAAGAATTTAAAGTTATTCTGTTTATTAAAACAGATTTCAAACAAGCTGCAGAGAAGGGTGACAAGGACTATACACTGGCAGGCATGTTAAACTCAAAGTCTACTAAGGGCCACACAAACGAAAACTGATAGCTTTCAGGGCCACCAATGCACTTCTATTGGAAAGTCATAATTATTTATTATTATAGATGATGTTTTAAGTATTTTTTTCAGGTCTTGTTTAAATATAATACAATAATTTGATGTGTAAAATTGTTATTTGCTCATATATAATTACCTTTAAATATAAATTTAAGGTACTTTAAGGTACTTTTAAATTATTATTTAAATAATAATTTAATTATTTTATATGATACATAACTTGTTTTATTGAAAAAAAACCAAATGTAGATCAAAACAATAAGGGAAAGACTCATATTTCAGAATAATTGCTTCAGCCTGACAAACAATAGCATTTGAATTTTCTTTAAAGAAACACAGTGTAAACCAAGTACATGCTGATTTCCCCCCCCCCCCCCCCCCCCCACACTATACACAGAGTTTTTTTGAAGATCCTATACTCCCCATTTTTTCAGGAGTATGGGATCTTTCAAAAAAGGTTTTTTTCCTCCTAAAAGAACCACATCTAGACTGTGGTTTCACTTTCAAAATACCCTTTTTCGAAAGACCGCGGGGGACGTGATTATGCAAATAAAGTGCGGGATATTTAAATCCCCGCTTATTTTGCGCTTTCAAAGTGCTTCATTTACATCCCTCTTTCGACAGAGGGATATAGTCTAGATGAGCCTTAAGTGTCTATTTGTCCCCAGAAGGATTATCAAAACGAATCGATCAAACGGCTTGCAAAGCTGGCCTTTATGGTGTCCTTAGGATTTCTTAAATTTTGCACTTTCAAAGGTACATGTAATATTCTTACACAAATAATCCCTGCAAGTCTAACAAATTAATTGCCATTTGGCTGACTGATGTACAAGTGCATATTTATTAGCAATACTGGTATGCCCCGGTTACCTTTGACTGGCTGGTACTTCTTAGATATAAAACTGGATAATTTCTTTTTCCTTTTTTATTTTTAAAGCAGATGTTATTTGAGCTAAATGGGTATCCTTCAGAAATTGGAAATCCATCCCAAGTTAAGACTACAGAGCAGAAAATGAAATAAGGATAGGTAAAATGTAAGATAGATATCAGGTGTGCAAAGTGGGAATTGATGAGCAAACAGCCAAATCATGACAAAAAAATTGATAAAAGGAAACTTTTTTTACCCAATTCATCTGTGGAACTCACTGCCATTAAGTAGCAGTGAGGTCAAAAGTTTATAAGATTTTTAAAAGGATGAAGGCTTATTGATAATGAAAACATCTAAAATACCATAGGTAAGATAAGAAACAAAAATTAAAACCCACTCATGTTTCAGGTCATAAGCCAGCCACAAACCGATGGGAGTAAAGAAGAAACATTCACTATCCGGAGACAACTGTCCACTGTAGTTTCTTGTGGACATGTGCGAGCACACTCACACCCCATCCTCTGACATCTTATATTGGCCACTTTTGTAGCTACAATACTGGACTAGACTAGAGGGAACCATTGGCTGATTTGGCAATGCCTACATTCTAAGGAAATTATATGACAACTATTAACACAGTACAGTTAGGTACTTAAAACTCAGGACATATGAAAATTAAACTGGGAAGCACAAATCAGTCCCTTGTGTATGTATATATTATAGTACTCTTGATTCCATTCAGTGGAAGAAAACTGTATGCTATCGTATTATTTTAGAAACGGTATGTGACCCCATGCAATTAACACTGAATTGTATGCTTGTACAAGGGGAAGAGCTAAAGAGCTGTGGGCTAATGCCTCCCCTGTACTCCCAAAGCCAGGCACTCCCAGCCCCCCCCAACTGCCTCCCCCTTCCCCAGAGCAAGGCACCCCCACACACCCCTATCCTAATGCCTCACTCCTCCCCTCAGAGCCAAGCACTCTCAGCCCCCCCAAACTAACACCTCTCCTCCCCCAGAGCCAGGCACCCCTCAGGCATCCCCAACCTAATGCCTCCACCAGAGCCAGACACTCCCAGCCCCCTCCATGCCCAATACCTGGGTCCCAGAGCCGCTGTTTCTGCCACACACGCTTTCATCAGGTGCTGGAGCGGCATGAGTAGAGTGGCCAGCTATGAGCAGGCACTTTGTGCCTGTACAGAGCAGCCCGGCCGGCTGTGAGCAGGTGCTAGAACACCAAGCAGCCCGGCTGGCCATGAGCAATCACTGCAGCGCAGAGCGGCCAGCCAGCTGCACTTTATTCTTTTATAAAATATAGTGGCGGGCAGCAAAAACCTTCAATGCAGTCCTCCAGATGTCTGTTTGACATGCATGCACTAGGGTGTTGTTGTGAGACACGCAGCCTACAAAAGCTCTCTTAGTACCATGGCAATTTCTCCTTTATGTGTAGTCAGAATGGACTGATTTTACAAAGGGGACGTACAAAACAGCACGAGTGGTAAGAAATGTTTTTACAGGCTGTTTTTAGTATAATTCAGCACTCTGAAGATGAATTGGCAGTCACTACATAACCTAAGTGATTGAAAAATGTGCTCGTCCAGGAAGTATCTTAGAATAAAAAGTATGGTAGATTTTTTAAAATTGAGAAACAGTGTAAAGTTTTCCCACAAGGAACTAGCAGAACCTTGCAGCTGCAATTATTTAAAAAAGAAACAAGGGAAAAAATTCAAATATGTTGTAAACAAGTGTTCCAGCATCTCAGGAAAAAAAAAAACCCACACAGTGCTATAGCATTTTTTTTTTTAGCCATTAAGACCAATAAATTTCAGTAACTCCCATGTGGCTATTCTCTTATACAACTTCCCAACCCCCAAGAATACTAGTAAATTCAAGGAATGTTGCCAGGGTTGTTCAATTTTAGCTAAAGATAGACTAGAAATTTGTTTAAAGAATGAATGGGTCAGTTATCAGTGACTAGAGCAGCTGAAGGCTGGGTACAATTAGCATAATTTGTCAATCTTCACAGTGTTGTCCACAGAATAAAGACTTCTTACAGAGCAGCAGCCTCCAACTTTTGGCACCTTAAAACCAACATGACCTAGAAACAAAAAAACAAAACTCCTCCTCTCCCCAATACCCATCACATTCAACAATAGTACATTATAGTCATGTCAATAGCACCAAGATGTAACTGATAATCAACATTATCTAGAACAATCCTGTTAACATTAGCTATCACTACAGAGATATATAGTGAAATTCTTCCTAAGACTATGTATTTGGTAGAGCAATGCAAGACTAAAAAACCCCCAAAAATAATACTCATCAACAGAACAGCTGATGTGATGATCAATCCCTGTGTTAAATTAAGCCATTGTAATTTTAATATAATAAAAGTAATAGCTGGATATTACATCTTCATGGTTAATCAAGTTCAGCTTATTAAATAATTTTAGAACATTTCAGAACAATTATTATTCAACTTTTCAGAATGAGATATGTACCTTAATAAACTTTGAAACCACTGATGTTTTCTTGGAGCACTTTGTCTTAATATTTTATCCAGAGCAGTATATGTGAAGCTACAGTATATGTGTAGGTAAAAATGGAATTCAGAGCATTTGCCTGCCTCACTTCAGCTTATTTCAGAAGAACATTTTGAAAGGAGAACCTATCCTGAACTCGAAATAGGTCTGGTTAGTGCTGTTTACAAGTTCTAACTGGCTTTGGATGAGCAATTTAACAAAACCAAAATGGATGATACAAGGAAATCCAAGCCAAGTTTCATTAAATAAATTTATTTGTTAAAATAATTTAACTCCAAATACAACTGCTGAGTTTGCATCGAGTTCTATGTACAATTCTTGTTTTATTTGAAACATCAAGGTTTAACAATTGACATTGTTACAAAACAATAAATTGTTGCTCCATCTTTAGGTTGCCAGTTGTACTAGAGCTCAATTAACTGTGAAATATACTTATTCACCTCTGGGAAACCCCAAATCAATACCGTTAAACCTGGTTCAAAACCCACTGCAATCATTCTTGAGACCTGATGCACAACAATGCAGATAAAAGCCGCCTGCTGTTGTCAAACATATGCTTTGTTGCGCACCATTAAAACCTCACCAGTGCTTTGATTCTACACTGGTAAAAAAAAAAAAAAAAAACCAAACATGCATAACCCACCCCCAATCAAATGGCTGACATCTTTAGGCAACATTCTTCATACAGGAAAGCAAATGCCAGTAGTTTTCCCACAGAAAAGTGATGGCAACTGTAGCACTGGGGTTAGAGAGGCTAGTTACTTGTTGGCCAACCCACAACAGAAAGTCACCAAAAGCTGTCTTTGATGCTCTAATAAAAAACCCCAGGTGTAATACTTTTAATCTGATGCTGGTTTAATTTGTTCTGCCTACTTTTAAAAAGCAGGAGAAAACAGTTACTACTACTATCACATCTGAAAAAAATTAAAGTTGCAACACTAAAAAAAAAAAAAAGACCAATAAAACTTAATGCTGTCTTTGTAGAAAAGTACAAAACTCTACAAGAACAGCTAAAGAAAACATGGGTCTTTGGATCAAACCATAATATTTTAAGGCATGTTATAAAAAATGTTCACATACTATAATTGGTAGTCTGATCAGGGTACAAAGTAAGAGGTGACCCAAGACCACTGACTTTCTCCAGGTGGCCATCTATCTTGGATGTGGCTCACTTTACTATCCTCTTGCTATCCTTATGCTTTCAAAAATATCTTAGCCAAACGCAACTGTCATTGATTCAAGCTCCACTATATTCACATCAGTGGAAATGCAAATGGTGCACAACTTCCTCCTCAGAATTATACAATAAAAAGAGCATTTTTAGCTTCCTCTGCCCTGCCCCGCGCAATGTTGTGTGATGGTATATGTGTTGCTTAGTCACTACATTTTTCCTTTCCATGTTGCATTTATGTCTCAGAAGTATCTTTTTTTAACTAAAGTTTTCTGTTTAGAATTTTACTTGTGCAATTTTCCTAAATTAAGAATTAATCTGTTTTACATTACACACTTCAATGTAAGCCTTTCATACATATTATTTATACCATTTACTGGTTGCACAGCAATTTTTATAGAAGATCTTAGCATTTTATGCATAGTATTGCTCAACATGCAAGCCAAACAATAATTTGGTATCAAATTTGATGTTTCTGAATGCTCAGGCAGTGGGTCTCAAAAATGGACAAGCTGCCTATTTTATTAACGAATTGTACAGTTTCATTAGATCCTTCTTCCATATAGCTATTATAGGGTGATACTACTGATTCAAGTTTCAAAATTTGATTAAGCAGACACATGGTTAAAATTAGGTGGGAGAAGGTGCAAACACATCAGATTTTGTAGAAATTAGCTAGAAGGAAAGATCTACATTTCAAGGATTCAAAAAAATCTGAATAGTAGGGACTCAACATTTATTACACTGAACATCTTTGTTTCCTTTAAAAGGACTAAGGGCAGTGGTGGCTAGTTCTCTTCCATTACTAATATCTCCTTTAGCTGTCACCCACTGAACAAGATTAAAATTGTTACTATAAGAAATTTTGTGAAGCTGTTTTATACTTGAGTTTCTCGTTTCAGAGATTAAGAGCATTTTTAAAGCAGTTCTGCTGTTGGAGGCAAATCTGTCAGAACCAAACTCCAATTACAGCATTTCTGAGGGATACACACACCCAACACATGCACCCATTTTCACTCATTTACACACAAGGAACTACACTGTTACTGCACAAGACTGAGAAACTAATATAATGCATGGCGGTATTTAGACCACAGGCTCAGTGATATTGCATTTTGATGACCAAATTTTAACTATAAAGGTCCAGCTCAAGACAATTGCTCCAACAAATAAAACTTAGACATTTTGATTTAAAACTTTTCTATACTTGATTGTAAGACTTCAGAATAGATAATTCTGTGCCATTAGTCATGCAAATGATAAATACTTCACAGCTAGAAAACTAGAACGCCAGAGCTCGAGCACCTTTGCAAAACAAAATATTTGCTTCCACTATTTGATACTCCAATAATCAGGGCAATCTTTGAATAGCATGTCAAGTAATTACACAAAAACTGTTTCCTCTCACCCTTACAGGATAACCATAACCTATATTCCTCCTGTGAGCCAAAATGATTTCATATGGTTATTCAAACAAAGTTGCCAACATTAAAGCTATGAAATAGCAAACTTGATTTCCAAAGGTTAGTTAGGGATCACACCAAAAAATACCCAAAACAAAAACAAAAAACAAAAAAAAACCCCACCCTTTAGCCCTTAAAGGCAAGAAAGAAATTGTCTTCTTTAGCAAACTTAAAAATGCAGGATGTTCATACTGTCCCATGAGGTTTCTGCAAAAGGGAACATCTGGATGTAACATGGCTTTGTTTTCCTTACAAGATGGTACTAGTTAATCTATTAAAGTGTTCCTTGTTAGTAAGGCTAAACGATTTTTTTCATCACAGTTGCTTCCTCCTGGTTCAGTAAAGTGATAAAGATGTTTCCTGCTTTGTAAACAGAGGGTTTGTTTGGCTTTTTGTCTGACCGAAACCTGAAGTGATCCTCCATTCTTGAGCAGCAAAGTGGAAGATTTAAACATTCCAATGCCATATTATGTTTTTTCACTAGCCATTGGTTTTTCAGATCGTCTCTCTCTTCTTTAAAGTACTGATGCAGTGCTTTCTATTTCACAAGGTGGGATAAAGTGTAGAAATTGCATCAATTTTGAAAAATAACTATATAGGCCTTGTAGATCATATTTGCCTGTAAAACTGTCAGAAGTTCAGATGAAAATAGGATACTTGTTTGTGTAAACTTGGCCTCAAGCAAAAGTACTACTCCTGAATATCGTCACTGAAAGACTTTCCCCTCCTTTTGTGTTTATCAGTATAGACTATGCTAGTTGCATGTGATCTTTGCAGGTCTTCTCTCTATCGCTTTCAATTTTCATCACCAGGAATCTTCTAATTTATGAAACAGCTGTTGCTGACATAATGCAAACACATATAGTTCAACTGAGATCATCCTGTAGATCAACTGATTAGGACATGAAGTTGTAGGTGCACTAAGGGGTACTGGGTGAGAAGTTGTTGTTTAACCCTATTATGTTCAGAGATATTGATTCACTTTCAATGCTCAGCTCTGATTTAATGTTGTTACTTATGAATTATTCCAAGTGACCCACAAACCAGAAAATGAGGCAGACAGTTTTACCACCTTACAAAAATTCTGTAAATTAGGTCCAGGTAGGTCATTTTTAATGCTATTGAATATTACATGCAGAACAGCATGGATCATCTTTGTCTGGCTGAGCTGCATAGTTCATTTGTCTAACGATTTCTGCGAAGAGCTCATCCACCATTGTTTTACTTTTAGCAGAAGTCTCCATAAAAGGACAGCCCCATTCTTCAGCCAGAGCTCTGCCTTCATTCGAAGATACTTCTCTCTCACTCTCCAGGTCCACTTTATTACCAACTAAAATCACTGGCACCTTCTCATACCTATAATGCAAAAAAAGGGAGAATTAAGATACCTTAAAATAGACTTATTTCTCCCCAAAAACACTGTGTATAAAATGAGAAATAATTCGAAGTCCTTCATCAAAATCTACCTTACAGTTTAAAACGCAAGCTTCCCACCCCCTTGTGCTAGTTCGTTACACCACTCCCCTTCAGTTTTCTTAGTTTTCTAATGAATGTTTCTTAATTTCCTCTCCAGTAAGGAAATCAGTCAGAAACACTTATAACCCTACCTCTTTTGGTGAGGCACAACATTTCATCATACTCCAACACATTCTGGATTAATATTTCAGATCGGCTGGAGTTTCAAGCCTCCCTCTAACTTTAGTTTATGTTCCCTCTCTCCAACATATGATGCACTTACTATTTTTGGTGGGAATGGAGGAATTTCTCATGTATAATTCCCATTCACATCAGTGGGAATCTCAAAAATCCTTTCATGCGTATGTCTACACTGCAGCTGCAGCAAGCCTCCCAGTCCTGGCAGACAGATTCACACTAGCCGAGTTCAAAATAGCATGCTAAAAATAGCCGTAATGTGGACATTACAGCTCCAGAGAACACCACAATCCCCTCTAAGCTGCACGCTTGTGCATGCACACTGAGGAAATTTCTACCCCGCCCACCTCCTAAGCAGAGCTGTGCAGCAGCATGGCAGGAGGCAAGCAGCTGTTCGGGCAGGTAGGCGGCTTCTCCAGCCAGCTAGGGCCGGAGGAACCGCATGACGGGGGAGGTGGCTGCTCTGGCTTGCTGACCAGGGCCAGAGGAACTGCATAGTGGGCAGGTTGCCACTGCGGTTTGGGGCCGCGAGCTGGAGGGAGGGTTGCTGCCACCAGGGGTTAGGGTTGAAGGGATTCTTCATTCCCATTATTAAAACAGAGAAGGAAAGATTAAAAAAAAAAATATATCAGAATTGAGAACAGATCCTGGATGTTAAGCCCTCTTGCTGTATATGCTGGATGAATGGATCACTGCCCAAAAATCCATGCCATAAGCAAGTCTGGAGTTAAGAGCTATACTGTATCTTTTATTGTAGCCCTGAAGTGTAGGAGGTATTGTGTAGAATGTACTGGAGGAGAGAAGGTAGGACTATTTACAGTTTGCTTTTATCTGTGCCCAGCTCTGTTGATCACTTCCTGTGTGACTTCAGACAAGTTACTGACTGCTCTATGCCTCAGTTTCCCTGTCTATAACATAGGGATTCTGTGCCTCAAAAGCATCACAGAAGGTTTAGGATGCCAACTTGTTCACTTAATGTGGGCAAAGTGGCATGACACTGCCAGAGCAAAGGGGAAACAGTTATCTGCTACACTGAGTGTCTAATCTCACCTTAGTAGGTCAAACTATGGGCTTCCTCCCCACTGCTAAAGCACCAAATGTATATCCACACCACCCTTGCCCTCAGCTTCATGCACTCACTCCCCCTTGCGCAGAGCTGCAAGAAAGGGGAAGCACAGAGCTACTCCTTTAGCAGGGGAATTCTCCCATGAGTGGGTGCCACAGTGGCACACATCCAAACAAACGCACATGTCCTCATTGTTGGCGCACAAGACAAAACTCACTCTGCTCATAGATGGAAAATCTTGGAGGGAACACTGGAGAAGACTCAAGCTACTCAACCAAGTTCAGACAAAAAAACCCACACTGAAAAACAGTTATTTAAAGTTGCAAAGGCAAACACTCAAGTTAAGCAGTGCAAGAATAAGGTTGCACAGACAAGTTTAAAATTTGGTTCCCTTATGTGAATGCATTGGGATATTTATATACACTTTAAATTACAAAACTCACAGATTATTTTTCCATGGCACTTCTATTGCACTCAGTGGAATAGATGGATAGTGCTCAATAAAGACAGATACTCAGTGTTTTTTACCCTTATAATTCAGAGTGGGGCCCCCAGTTTATTTGCTGTACAGCACCCAAACCCTGATCTGAATACAGCATTATTCATTTGTAAATTTTTGTTATGTTTAGTTTCTTCAAACATAAGGGAATTTATCTTTGCAACTCCTTGGATGAGGAGTATTAGCCTCATTTTACAGATGAGGAAACATTCAGAGCAAATTAACTGAAGCTCTACAGTGATTCACTGACAGTCAGAATTAGACAAAGAACATCCCAATTCTCAAGCTTGCGCTCATTCTTCAGATGACACTGCCTTACTGCCAGAGGTATTAAGCATCTATAGTTCCCAGTGACTTAATTATGAATGCCCAGCACTTCTGAAAGTCAAGACAGCCAGGGCCTTATGAGAGCTCAGAAAAGGAACATAAAGGCTGTGAAAAGTCTGGTTTAATTGATTTGCTCAGCACTGCATAAACTATGTAGCAAAGGTAGGAACAGAATCTAGTTATCCTGTGTTGCATTCACCTGCCTTAATCAGGAAGCCATTCTTTTATTTCTTACTTTCCCCTGCTTCATTCACTACATGCATCCTGGCACAGTCTGAGAATGAACAGGAGCAGTTAATTACATCATAGCGTTCCCAGATCCTAACCTTAAACCTAAAGTATATCATGTTAATTCTCTAAAGCTCTTTTATTTCTGAGAATTCAAAGTTCTTCAGTTCACAGCTCATAAGAAAGACAATGCTGAGTGGTGTGAAGGAGCCCACTATGACGGAAAAGGCAAGGGTGGCGTCAAAGAGGTAACCCTCTTCATGAGCCTCAGCTGTGAGCAGCAACGGCAGATCTAGGAACTATGCGCTAGTTTCACACTGATGTTTTAAGCCACTCCAGGATGGACTGAACGGGCTTACCACTCCATTAACACAATCACAGCCCAACCCTACCAGATGGCTCCTTCAGCCAAAGCTGCTATAGAGAAGGAGATCAAGGACATGTTAGAGATGGGTATAATTCACCCCTCTGAATGTTCATGGGCCTCTCCGGTGGTCCTAGTCCCCAAACTGGATGGAGAAATCCACTTGTGCGTGGTCTATCTTACGTTAAATGATGTAACTCGCCCAGATGACTATCCAATGTCCTGCACAGATGAGCTATTGGAGGAACTAGGAGATGCCCAGTTCATCTCCATCCCAGACATAACCAAGGGATACTGGCTAGTACCTTTGAATGACTCAGAAAAGGAAAGGTCAACCTTCTTTATAGGTGGGGCTGTATGAATTTAATGTTCTCCCTTTTGGGCTACACAATGCACCCACAACCTTCCAAAGATTTATAGATAATCTGTTGGGGATCTGGATTATGTGGCTATATTCGCTGTTTCATCGGTAGAACACAGAAACACCTCCAAGCTGTCTTCTAGCACATAAGGGAAGCCGCTGACTATTAAGGCTAGGAAGTGTCAAATAGGCCTAAATAGGGTAACTTACCTGGGACATCAGGTGGGTCAAAGGACTATCAACTCTGTACAGGTTGAAGTAGTGGCTATCCAAAACTGGCCTGTCCCTAAGTCAAAAAAACAGGTCCAATCCTTCTTAGGCTTGGCAGGATATTACAGGGGATTTGTATCGCACTAGTCAGATCTCCGCACCACTGACAAACCTGACCAGAAAAAAAGTAACCAAATGAGGTTAAGTGGACTGAGAAGTGTCAGGAAACTTATAAGCCGCTTAAGGCTGTTCTTATGTCTGATTCTGTCCTAAGGGCCCCAGACTATGACAAACTTTTCTTCGGCACTACAGACACATCAGAGCGTGGTATGGGGGCAGTTTTGATGCAAACAGGGCAAATCAACAATTCCACCCTGTTGTGTTCATCAGTAAAAAACACAGAGGGAAAGCCACTGGTCTATCTCCAAGAAGGAGTGCTACACCATTGTATATCCTCTAACCTCTATGACCATATATTTGGGGACAACACTTGTCTGACCATTCTGCTCTTCAGTGGTTTCACAAAGTCAAAGAGACTAATAAGAAATTCCTTCTGTAGAGTTTGGCTCTCCAAGACTTTGACACAGGAGCTCCTGAGATGTGTTGTAACAAAGTGGCTGATGCACTCTTGTGAAAGTTTTCCAGACTAAGCCAATTAATACTCTCCCTATATCTAAGTCATTGTGTTCCATGCATGTGGGAGTATTGTTTAGTTCTTTGTATACTCAGTATTGAGAGTAGTATGTACATATATATTATTAACTATATTTTATTCTAGACCTCCAAGAAGAAATCACAGCTAGTGTGGGCCAGCCTTGTCCAGCACCACCTGTGATTTGGGGGAGTATGTAATGGATAGGAGGAGTGCTGGCCAGTACTTGGTAACTAAAGGGTTAAACTCAGGTAGCTAAGGGTGTTGGCAGCTCCCCAGGGCTGCTAGGGTTGCCAGGCTGCATGGCCGTGGGACCGCCAGGGCTCTGTTCCTTGGGGTGTTAGGGCTGCCATAGCTCTGAGACCACAAGGGCAGCCACGGCTCTGTTATGCAGGGCCACTGGGGCTCTGCGCCCCAGCATGACTAGTGTTGCTGCAGCTCCACTGCCCCGGGGTTGCACTCCTGTGTCCTGGGGCCACACATTCTGCCATAGCTCTGCTGCCCCAGAGTCAGTGGGGCTCCACTCTGTGGGGCCTCTAGGGCAGCTGTGGCTCAGCTCCCTCCATTGGGGCTAAGAATGTTAAATTTAGATGAATCAACTAATTGAAGTCAATGTAATTGGCATCGACTATTTGATTAGCCAATAAGGAGCCTCCACCTTTGAAATCTGGCAAGAGCCCTGCTGGCTCTTGCTACATTTCAAAGGTGGAAGTGCCGCAGGGAGAAGGGCTAGCAGGGGACTCAAGCAATCCCTCACTGGCCCCACACTCCCTGCTTTTGAAATGTACAAGAGCCCCAGGAGGGCTCTTGTACATTTCAAAAGCAAAGCGCCACTGGGAGTGCAGGACCAGAGGAGGACTGCTTGAGTCCCCAGCTCACCCCAGGCTCTCTGCAGCGCTTCCGCTTTTGAAATGTAGAAAGAACATTTCAAAGGAGGAAGTGCTGCAAGTTCCCCGCTGCACCCCTACCCATTCTAGCCATGGAAATAGTACTGGGGGGGAACCAGCTCTCTGAAATATTTGCATTAATTTCTGTTATAATATGAAATGGGCATTTTAATTGTGGATTGTATCAGTTTATCTGCATTGTTATGGTAATGGTACCACTTGACAACTCCACATAATACTTCATCTTAAAGTAGACATAAAATGTGAAATTCTATACATGCACATGATAATTAAGAGGGTCCACTAAGTTGACCAAATTGTTGGTGTCTACTGCTTGTCTACGTTTTCCTCCCTGAACCTAAAAGGTATACCCACAGATCGAAAACACTACTCAATGACTGAATCCATATCTGAAAAGTTTTATCTAGACTGAGTCTTAGATGTAACAGGCTTATCAAAAGATAAAGTGAAATTTTGTCACAGGAGGAGGTAAGAATGACATACAGCTAGCCTGAGAGCAAAGAGATTCATTTTTTTAAAACTCTGAAAATACTCAGCATCAATCAAAAAGAAACTGGCACAGAGTTGAACCAATGTAGCAAATGAAATTAAACAGATCAAAACTGTTTTTGTTTCCTAATTTTATGTTCTATCACTGCAGACAAATCTTTCAGCTTTTCAATAATTCCTTTTTGTCCATATTTCAAAACAGAGCCAAAACACATCCAACTTAGCTATGCAGAAAAAAAAAATCTGCAAAAATGTCCAATTTGATCTCGGAACTTAGAGGGTCCCACATTAGCACTGATGGGAGTTAAACTCTGTGACTCTCCCCCAAGATGCTCAGATAGTTGCATAATAGTTCACAAAAAGGCAGCATGAGGTCTTTCTAGAGACTGAGTATTCCATGGGTCATCATAATCAATGTAAAATGTGTGTATATATAAATTCCAATACAGATTCATATCTCTTTAAATATTATGGTCTTTAGGCAGGCAGGGCCGGCTTGAAGCCGATTTGCCTGAATCGGGCCCCACGCCCAAGGGGGTCCTGCGCCCTACACCCGGAAACTGAAAAGGTGGCGGCGGTGGTGGCGCACGTGGTTTGGAGTCCGGCCCTGCAGAAGGAGAAGGTAGGGGAGGGGAAAACTAGGAGGAGGTGTGGGAGAGGAAGAGGCTTGTGCAGAGGGGGAAGAAAGGGGAAGGTACCAAGAGACGGGTGCAGGAGAGACAAATGGCAGGGGGTCAAGTGCAGACAATGAGGGCAAGGGCAGGAGGGGAGGTGACAGTGGAAGGGGGGACAGGGTGATGCTGGGAGAGGAGAGGGGAAGGGCATTGGGGGCTAGAGGGTGGTGGGGGGTGCTGGGAGAAGGCTTGAAAGAAGGGGTGGGTATGTGAAAGGTGGGGATGGAGCAAGGATTGTGTGAGGGCACAGGAGCATGAGGGGAATGGGAGCAGAGAGCGGTGAGGGGTTGAGCATCAGGGAAAAGGAGGCAGAGGCAGTGAGGGAAGGGGTGAAAGGTGGGGAAGGAGCAAGGCTTGTGTGAGGGCACAGGGGGGCATGAGAGGAATGGGGGCAGAGGATGGTGAGGGGGTGGGCACCAGGGAAAAAGAGGGCAAAGGACGTAGGGGCAGTGAGGGAAGGGGGAGGCACCAGGAGGAGCGGTGAGGGGTTGAGCATCAGGGAAAAGGAGGCAGAGGCAGTGAGGGAAGGGGGAGGCACGAGGAGGGTGCAGGGCTAAGAGAAGGTGCAGGTGCCAGAGGATTCTGGGGGTGAAGCAGAAGGGCAGACACCTGCCGGGGAGGAACCAGTACCAAAGGAGAGAGGCAGGGCAGGTGTGTAGAGGGAGGTGTTAGAAGCGGGGTAGTTCACATGATCAGAGTGGGGCTACTGGAGGAGTGGGCACAGGGGGGAGAGAAGGGCTGGTGGAGGGGGGCAGGTCGCAGGAGAGCTGAGGGCAGTGAGAAGGGCAGGAGTCAGGACAGCAGAGGAAGGTGAGGAGTTGGGGGGCAGCAGGCACCAGGGGAGATGATGGAGCAAGGAGAGGAGACATGGCAGCAGAGAGGAAAGGTAAAGGTTTATAAAATATTTATTAATAACATGGTATGCTGCCCATGGCCAGTTTGTTTGCTCCCCACGATGCAGTTTGGGTTTATGCGAGGATCAACATGTGGCCGGCGAGTGGGAGCCTACACAAAAAAGTAGTTAGTATATGATCTTCTGTTGATATGTATTTTAGTAGTTAAATTCTTGGACTGTCATTGCTCATGAAAAGTGCTGTCACATGGTTAGAAATTGGGTAAACATTGCATTTTATTAATATCAGCAGAACTGACTTAAATGGGGCCTGTGTGTTGTGTAGTCTTGTCTTAATCTTTGTATTCATG